TGGACAGAAATAACGGACATATACATACGCCGCACTCGCGAGCGATTCGCTCGACGACACCAACAACCAAACAGCGTGTGGTCTTTCTTCTGAAAGCAAAGATACCTGACGCATGATATAAATGATCTGTAGAGCCGTTGTAAGGTTCCTATGTATCTACTGCTGGATCCTATGCCCTATTCTACATATGTACCATTTCCGCCTTTTCAGCCTCTATCTTTACCCAGTAGATTATGGCTGTCATCTTCTCCTGGAACAGTCCATGCCTCAAACGTTGCTCTGTAACTTTTTCTATTGTTCCCAGCTCAGTCATCATGTACACTTCTCTCTCCCTTTCGTAAAACACATAAGAGCCCGGTCTTCGCACTCGTCATCTTCGTCCCCTTCCTAAATCTTCGTCTACGTGGAAAATGTCCTCAGTCTTACCGCAGCAGTAGACTTGAGTTATGATGGGGGAGGGTGTCACACCATCTTTCAGCAGGTCTATGTAATTCTTTTGATGATTCCGGTTGATCAAAACGGTAAAAGTGCAGCCTGGTTCACCTATCCTAGCCGGGTCCGTTGTACGTACTATAGTTGTACCGAATCATCGCCTATTAGTTTTAGTGTAGGGCTCGCGAACAGCAGTGCTCAAGACGTTCAAGTTCTTTTACTTTACGCACGAAGCGCCAAGTTCTTAAGTGCAGGGTGAGATCTCAAGAGACCGCAACGGTCTCTGGCTATTATTGCGAGGAAGAATAACAGATAGCTAACAACAGCGCTTGTACGTGAAGGAGTGTACGAGTGTACCAAGTACTACGTCGTCCCGCATGGACCGTGTGCGGCGCAACCTCCAAAATGCCGCCGTGACGGTTCGGTGAAGTGTTGTAACTTCGGCGAGTTCCACCGCTTCCACCCGTGGAACGCCTGCTGGTACATGGTACCCGTTTAGATCTATTGGGGGAGTATGCCCGTCCATGATTGTTTCGGTATCAGCGAGGTGTATGACCCCGGCTGGTGCATCAAACTTTACAGAAAGGTGTTACAAAGGTGTAGACTGGCGCCCAGAATAGAGATGGGACGAACACACACACATACCGCTGAGACTGACGGGATAGCGCGTTGGCAACGGACGGTCTGTGGTAATCAAGGAAGACACATACAGAATGAGGACATACAGGCAGAGAGATGCATGTTTCAAACGCGGCGCATCCTCGAGGATGGATGGTTCGACGGGAAGAAATACTCGTGTGCTCTTTTGTGATCCATGCACTACACGGAAGAGCCCCCTACTATACTTGTACAGCAGTGCTGTAGATTACAGACTCCGTATGTAGATACCATGTCTAGACTAAAGATCTATGTAGACTTTGGACAATAAAGAAGAGCTGCATCAAATTAAAAAGAGTACCATGTCTGTCGACAGCATGGCAATAAGGTATGTAGCTTGCGCTCCTTACATCCTCACTGAACAACGAGACACGCAAGTACTCGTCGCAGCAACACGAGACAACCTCGCCCTTCAGGGAAAACTACATAATAGCCGCATTCACAGATTGCTGGCTCTCTTCACCTGTTTCCTCTTGGCCCTGTACTTTTCCCAACCCTCCTCAGACCCCTCACTCAGGTACTGCTTGAAGACTTCTCTACGTTCCCCTATTTCTTCTTTCAGCTCGTCATCCCACCACTTAACCGATACCCCACATCGTACCACCTTGTTTCCCACTACTCTCTCTGCCGTTGTGTTCACTATGGACTCCCACTACTGAAAAGAACGTCATGTCATGCACGTCAATGGCATTTCCTTGTTGGTGACACCATCCGTCATCTCCGGTCGGTCGTTGCGAAAACATCGATCTCCCTTCAGGCAGCTCACGCGGTCGTGTTCTATCTGACTCTTGTCCATGACACCTCTAAGCTGTGTAGAATTTACATAGACAATACGGAGACACCCATGCTGCGACTGAATAGCCCGCATAAATAAGGGTTGAAGTGCGCGATTCCATAGACGACCTACAGCTATTATTTGGCCGGTGATATTGACGGCTGTGTACACGGGGCAAGAAAACAACTTACGTAGTCCGTGCCCCTCCAGAGATTGCGGCGACCATTGCAACAGGGGTGCGCAGCGCTCTACCCTATGCCGCCCGTAACTCACTCGTGATTTTTCGAGCGAGCGGAAGAGGTAGAAAGGATCTGTAGCATCCAAGCCATCTCATTTCCAGGCGCTACTTTGTACATGTACTGCAATGTGACCTACGAAAAAATGGATACAACACCTTCCCTCTGCCTCTCCTCCTCGCTCACCTCTGCCAACCACCCTTCCAGGCCCCAAGTCTTCGAGACGACATAGTTGGCGAAGGCGCTCCTTTGCCTGAGGAAGTAGCAGAACAACATGCCCCGCTACGGCGCGCTCCCGTGACGGCTCCTCAAGGTTGGGGGGAAGTCGGAGCGACACTTTTCGCCGTCCTCCCATCGCTGTTTTTCGCAGATTTATCTGCCTGGGGCTTGAGCGATCTTACCCAGAACCGGCTTCGATTGGGTCTGGGCGAAGAGATTTCATATATTATCTATCTGCAGGTGTTCGAAAAGAGTTGTCGAGGGAAGTTGTAGAACATCCATCCGACGCACGACTACGACATAAATATCTAGCACCTTGTTGCGGTCCATTGAAATCTTGTGCCTTCTCATGCTTCGACTGCAAATGGTTGTTAGCGTTTTTTTGGTGGTTCCTTGAGATTCGCCGGGCTGTTCGAGTCAAAGTGCTTCAGTTGTGTTGAGTTGTTCAAGCTTGGAAAACGTTAGCGACCTGGGCCTCTGCTGCCTGCCCTTGTTCTTGGCCCCTGCCTCGTATGCCTCCACCCCACGACAAGAGCGCGACAGACTCTGCATCCGCCATCGCGCCGTGGTCTACGCCAGCGAGGAACCTCTACATAGATCTGGTAGCTTCGTAGATTCCGTCGTAGATTCCGGAGAAAAAAGTTTGCTTCTGCGGAGATAATAATGCTTCCGATTTTTTTAGTGAGATTATTTTTGCCACACACAGCAGTTGGCCACAGCAGAAACTCAAGCCCTATTGAAAGAGAATCGGCAAGGGGTTGCACGACCTGCGTGCAGGATGACCCTACCATCACCAACGGTAACCTTCTCCTGTCGAGTGCTCCCCTCGGGACTCGCCCCCCTACCCGTGCACTCGCAAAAAGCAAAAGGACTTCCTCCAGATCGCGGTCGAGACGTTGAGACGCACAGGACCAGTGGCACGCCAACATCATTTCCAAAGACACCCGGGGCGTCGTCGGAGGAAAAGAGCAAGATCGATTGATGTGTGGGTGGTCGGGTGCGCGGCCCTCGCCCTTGACTCCGACGCAACCCTGAACCGGTCTCCTCGTGTTCGGTGTTCAGATACACCCCTTTTTCTAGTTTTGGGGTATTGGGTGGATCGTAAAAAACGTTGCCTTCTTCAAACCCTGTGTAGACTTATTTAGTTTAAAGCCAATCGCAACCAATACGGCTACATAAGAGCGGATACACAAACAAGTGACAGAAAATCACCCGGCCAACGACAGCAGCAACAACTCCTGTTTCCTCCGAACCAATTCGACAGCAACCAAAACAAATCAAGGCGTATTCGAACACTCTCGGACCACCTACCTACGCGGATAGGGGATAGGGGACACAAAAGTATTTCATCTACGTTGGTAGGACAGTAGGGTGCACACCCTGCGGAGAGCTTAAGTACCGCGAAAATGATCGCGAGGATGGCTCCCCCTTAACGTCGACGCTCATGTAAGGAGAGAGCGGTACGAACAGAGTGCACTTCACGATCCTAATCACAACCCTAACACACCCACGGCGGCCCGCAAGCCCAGAGCCCAGAACGAATAGCGGTGTATGACCGCACACACACCCGGATACAAATAAAAAAAAAATGAGGATCCGCGTGAAAACAATTCCCGCGAGAGATGGACAGGCACCAGCCAAGTTTTCTAAAAATACCTTGCTACTGTGTGATCTCTTCGACAAGCAAGTCCGCACCCGCCGTTCGATTCGCCCGCCACACCGGGAAACATGCACCCCTACATTGGGGAGGAATATACCGCTGGACAGCAGTCCACCACCAAACGCTCGTTCAAAGGGCAGACACTGCGTAAAGCTACATACATAACTTAAAAAATCAGGCTTGTCTTATACTGGTACTGTATTGCTTAGCGGCGGCGGAATCAGTGGCCTCTACACGCCTTCCTCGGCCGGCGAAATACTGAAATACGAAATACTGCCTACGAGTACACGCCGGAAAAACAGCTGATCGCGCACGTACGAAAGCACAGCAGCCCGCCGACGAACCTACCCAGCCCCGACAAAGAACTTGCGAGCGACCCTGCCATAACGCTTGACGTCGCGATGTCCGGCCCCCAGCGCACAAAACTGTTAAAATTGTTCCATCCTCTTGTCTGGGCCAGGAGCCACCACAACGTCGACGTACCCCCCCCCCCCCCCTCTCCACCCCCCTCTCCACCTAGGTGCCCCCCCCCTCCGTGCGATGCCAACCCGCACCGAAGGATTTCGCGAAACCTCTGGCGGTACCGTCCATGCGAGCGTTCAACAGCTCAAGCTGGGTGACAGACCGCGAAAGCGATAAACGGCTGTCACCCAGAGCTCGGGCGTTGGTTCTCAAGAGGGAGTTGCACACACGAGCCGCGTCCTGGTTCGAAGGGGAGGACGGGAGGTGGGAAGGGCGGCGAGGGGTCAAATTGCAAGACAAGGGAAACAAACACGTCAAAGTCAAACGCTCGAAAGCACCGAGGTACTTTGTAGCCAGTAGCCAAACCGAATCGTGCGGGGTCCCAGCGTGGTCGAAACATTTCATAAGCCGGCCGAAAATGCTAGGTCAAGCGGCCTTTGAACGTCAACGAAGCACGAGAAAAAGAGGGGACATAATCGCCCTCTCACTCCACCGCACCCCTCCGAGAAAAGAGCATCACAAAGAGTCGTGGATAGCCGTACCTCCAACGGCTTGCTGGCCGTTAAGGGCAAGCTCCGGAGCGCTCGCCCCATCTCGTCCGCGCTCCTGGCAGCGTACACCCGGAAGGGCTCGCTGATCTTGCTGTTTTCCGCGAGCCTGCTCGCCTTCCTCTCCAACCCCTGGGAGAACGGCGGGATTTGTGGCGGGGGGGTGGGGGT